AAGCCGTAGAGAAATAAAACTTATATGTGAGCAGTGGCCAAGGTAGCAGGAGCTTTCTGTTTAGACACCGCCATGGTCAAGTAAAGGGCAGCAAAAAAATTAATTCAGCTAAGCTAGACCTACATACACTACATTACAACATACATACAATACATTCACACTTATATAATAGCAAAACCAAACAGCAAAGCAAAACATAGCAGCAGCAAAATCAAATTTGATTATTCAGTAGCTGGCATTTATACTCTTTCTTAAAGATATTGTTGGGCAAATGTTTAATTCTGAGGCGTATAGATTCCTACATCCTTGAGCCAGAAAACCTCTAGACAATAACTCTAACCTTACTAAAAGCAACCAAATAAAATAAATACCCTTTGATCATGATTGATACTGATGGTTCTTTCTCAGCTCTTCCAGGTTGCAACAGTCTCTTTCTTTCTCCCTTCACAACTTCTATTTCAAATTTCAAAGTTTCTGGAGTTGTTAGATGGAAATGATGGACCACATGCAAGGAGGAACTCCACCAAGATTGTTCTTGTTCTTGTGTGTAGCACGAGCAACTGCAGTTAGACCACAAATTAAATATACTGTTGCTGTATGTTGAATCAATATCAGGTTCATTACTAAGTTCAGATGCCATGAAGTTGGCTTAATTACCTCTTTAAAGTAACCTACATAATTGATATTGCACAGATTGGCATTGTTAGCTACATATCACTACAATCTGGTTACTCCAGATGCTTTAATTTGGGGATAGAGAGTGATTCAGCAAAGGGTGTCATGAGTATGTGACTGGTTGATGACTGTGTTTGGAGATTCAGAAAGCAGTAGACTCACTACTGGACTGGAAATAGAGCTGTAGCTTGCAACTGAGGCTGTTACAGGGAGTCTTAAATTCCAATACAAATGACATCACCGGTAATCTCTTTTTAATGATACTTCCCCACATGAGCCTCATTTACAAGGTAGTTCCAGTCTAATACTGAGAATACAAATATAGCCCACTGTCAGGTGGCAAGCCTGCAAATAACAGTCGGTCATCGGATAATTGTCCGATAAATTTGAGGTTTTGACAGGTAAAAGCTCAGCCTGGTCGGACAATCTGACCGGGCATTTCCGCCAAAATGAAAAATATTTTAACTGGAAATTTGTGGCCGAATATGGCACAAGTTATTTTGTTATAATGCCACACAATACTACGAAAAAAGCTTTGTTATCGGTTTTGTTTTTATTCCAATTCTAAGAGTTTTATCAGGCACAGTGCGTCATCTCAAATGTTATGTCGAATTGTACTGATTGTAAATACATCCCATCAGCGCCACTATTCCTACATGTTAATTTACACATTTTGCGGTGGCGTCGTGAAAGATCGTGAAGCCCCATTTAGTCTGAATTACGTTCATCTGAAAAACTACTAAAAACTGAGGTCTTATGTAATTACTTGTTGTTTGTTGCNAAGAAAAGGGATCAATACTACAGAAGCTAGACAGCACAGAGTACCCCTGTGATGACAGGAGACCAACATCAGTAAAGATCCTTTATAAAGCTGATTTAACAAGAAAAAAACTCTCATTACACTTTCAGTTATGAACAAATTACAGACAAAGTTAGTTACACTGTTTTACCAAATAAGTCTGTGTCGTTCTAGAAGAACATAATCATCTTCTTCTTCCAAGAATCTTTGGCAGTTTCCACAAGTAAAACACTCAGTATGAAACTTGTGATCAGCTACAACCTGAAAGACAAAATATACATTTTCTTTAATAAATTATCATCCTTCAGTTTATAAAGAAATGGTATTCGTGTAACTGACCCACCATTTCTTCCTGATTGTTCGAACCGGGCAACTTGGAAAAGAGTTAACTTATCAGAACTTTACTTGAGAACAAAGGATAGCGACCTTTTTCACAAATAAACCAATAAGATTGAAGTATGCAAACAAAAGTTCATAACAAAATTGTAAAACCCAGCAAAGTGCACAGTGATTGTTGATTGGTTAGTTGCAGTCCTAAATTTTGTATGGTGCTCAACAGCTTTGGGTTAGTTGTCACAAGATTAGTTTTAAACCTAGATTTTTCAAGCCAGATTTATAATTATGATAATTTGCTATGGACTGAATCTCAAAGAGCGTATATAATGCAAAGAAGTCAATAGTCTTAATGTTTTCATGTCACAGAGGCCATTACTTGCCCTCACAAAAAGCCACCAGTCCATTGTTCCAAGTTTACGTTTTGATTTTGGTTACATGTAGTTTCCTTCTGGGTGGCCTGGTTCGAGTAGTTGCACTGTGCTAATAGTCAACAAGAAGATCTTTTAGATCTTATAGCCACGCTTTTAAAATTTAACTGTTTGCTTAGCACTACCGTCGGAACGTAGTGCACATTTCAAAGTAGTCATTGATGATTCTTTTCGTACTGTAGACATCACATCACTTGATCAACACAAACTGTATTATTGCACCATCAGTGGTAGCCGTTGACAAATCTCCGATG